CAAATCCGCACGCCTTCTCACTTGGCTGTCATGTATTCATTAATTTACATGATATAACATTTGTTGTAGGATATGTGTCGATAGAAAAAATTTGAATAGTACAAAATTTTATATAAATGGACAATGAATATCACTCAAATAATAAATTCATCACTACAACATATCAGCAATTCGAAAATCAACCTTCTTCACGTTTAGTAGTTTGTTCAGCTTGATTTATGAGCAAATAACATTAACCAAAGCAAACTAGTCTTACAGCGGTAAATTAATTTCTAAATTCAGGCATAAAGACGAAAAAAATTGAGTGAAGCAATCAGGCGTACGGTCAGGCAAGTTCATCGTCGAATTTCCGAACACCTCCTGTCTTTGTTTGCTACAGGTCAGAATAAAGCTATACGCAGCTTAATACTAGTTCAACCCGACGATACTGTAAATAAGATCGATTCTAGGAAAACTTTCATCCAATATAGATATCTTGTTACTAACATTTATTAGTTAATTGTTTTGATGACCCTTAACCTCTTTATTTCAGCCCCTCCCGTATACTTAAGACTGATTAACTAAACTAGTCACTTGATTAGTAAAATTTATGACGTAAGATCCTGAACATTAGTTTGGCGTTGATGATGACAAAATAACTGGAAAGGAATATTTGTTTCACTTGAGTTAAACAGTCTGTTATCCATAAACATATTCAACCAACAACGAACAAATAGAAAGTATATGTTGCTCAAGATACAGTGTTCTTTAGGCTCTGGCCCATACATCGAATTCGAACAAGACATAAAAGAATTCAGTGATACAAACTTTTGTTTCCTTACTGGACAACTGTGGGGTACTCTGCACAATTCAGTTGAACAATGTGTCGTACGTAGCGCTCAAGGGAGAAATTTAACTAGAGCATTACAGACATCGATTTTAACAAGTGAGCAATCGTGACCAGTCAGGTCCATCCACCTGGGAGTGAGGATGGCGTTCCCACCGATGACATCGGTTAGTGCTTGCACTAAATATATCATGCATTAGTAGAAGTTAGAATTCATGAAGTTGTCATTGAATCGGTTCCCAATCACTGAATACTCTACAAGACTGCCTTGGGGCCGAAAGGTCCTGGGTTCGACGAGTCTCAAGCTAGGATAAAACAACTGTCTGATACTCCCTGGTTTTTAATGGTACTCTAAACGAAATCAATCCACAGTTGAACTCGAGTAATAAACAATGCAAATGATGCTTATTCGCTGATTGATATTTGTGGCTTTGAGTTAAGAACAAATTACCAAGGATAGTTAACTCTAGGAATAGAATAAATCAGATTTTAATAGATGCTTATTTTTTAATAACTGTAACCTACATTCAAGATTCTACATTGCATATTTAGGCCAAATTTTATCCCTGTACAAAACAATATGCTCGTAAGTATTAAGTAGTCAACCGGTAATATAGATGTCTCACAGAAAATACACAGCTTGGCTTTTGTATTCTCCGAAAGTTATTATATTTTCCAGTAGTCAGCACCTAATGAAGACCTGCGAAGTAAAACGAAGTCATTTAAAAATGCCTGTTTAGTTTTCAAGAGTTTGTTTGTGGAGGTTTGATCTGTGTCAGGTTTAATCACGGACCGATATCAGTTAGCGAACCATTGAATACTAACAGGAAGTACTGGACAGCTGTCTCGTTCTAGTTTGGGACTCTTCAACAATAACGTTTTAGGGTTTAAACCCAGCAACTTCTTATAACAAGCAAAATTCGTACACCATTCAGAAACACTGAGACCCAATCCAACAGGTCTTTAATTGCTGCTCCTACCAATTAAGGATTTTAGTATGACTGGCACCAGCCAATAAATATCATCAGCAAGGATTTGTCCTTAGGCGTTAACTCTCAGTAGAACTCCAGTCGAATTCGTCATGTAGCTAGGCAATAGGGAGCATTGGATTGATTTTCGAGAATTTCTGTGCAGGGTTTTATATGTCTTTGAAGTCTGCTGACGGATTGATATCAGCTAGTGAATCACTGAGAAGTCGTGTCTAGGTTGGGTGTGAGGACAAGTGTCCTTGCTGACTACATACACTGATGGTCACATTAAAATCACAGAGTGACGAAATTTAAAATTAATGGGCAGACGGATACTGTAATTGATAGTGTTCTCTGAGCTCCTTGGTTTAATTGCGGAGCTTTCATCGTCTTTCTGGACGACATCTTCAGCGCAGTATTTAGGATAAAGTGAAATGATTTAAATTTTTTCATGAGTCTCCCAGTAACATTCTTTAGATATGTATTGACCGTTTTCTATTGATTGAGATTTTAAACTTTCTGATCATCTGATTTACTTTTTATTAGTTGGTATATTTCATCTATATTAACGTGTTTATTAATTGCGTTTTCATTTGAGTACCAGGCTTCTAGGAATTCCCTGGCACATTTGGTGTTTCCTCTGTTTAAGATTTTGACATTATTATAATCAATCATCCACCTGAGTTACAAATCTTTTCTATTATTTCAAGACGGATACTGTCTAATTGGCTTGATGATCTACGAACTTGTAATGCGTCTGCTAGCTCCCTAGTTCGAAACCCAGTGGCCGACTTTGTCGAAGGGTCGAAAACTAGGAGAGAGAGAAGTCCAGTACTTCCCGGTTTTCAATAGTTCTGTAACTGGCATCAATCCGTGATCAGACTTGAAAGGTGTTAAGTTTTAGTAAATGAGAGTAAGAAACTCACAAGAAGCAGAGCTCGTTTGTTTCTGCTTTTACATTCTTGATTCTATTTACTTTGAAATGATTATTTATCCATGTTGTTTAAAAGAAACAAATATTACTATTTTCATATACGTGAAAAACTTGGGCACTGTGATAGTATGTAATTCCATATTAGTTTGTTTATTAGATGTATCACACAATTAAACAGTATTATTTACTGGATGAAAAGATTTCGAAGACATTTTATTACTGTCCATAATCATATCAAATATGGTCACACGACTTTGAAACACAAACAATAAGGAATCTAAATCACCAGTAGTAATTCCATACAAGGAAGGAACCTCGGAAATCACCTTACACAGAATTGTTAACAAAGCAGGCAGGAATAAAAGTGGCTGGAATTCAAACCAACCACAAACTCAAATTAAAACAAGCTTTGTCGGTTAAAGGATCCTGCAAGTGGGCCCTTTAAAACAAAACAATTTAGTTTGTCTAACACCCTGCCTGCGATGATTGTCAGGTCAAATACATAGGTCACAGTAGGAGAACAGGGACAGTCAGTCAGACTAGCCGAACATAAAAACCTAGCATAATCAAGATTGGTTGACCCGAATAAGACAAGAAATCTAGAGAATAGTTCAGCTATACCAGTCACTATATACGATTACAAACAACCATACAATAGGCTGGATGGGATGGGATGACAGTTTTAGAATCTAATATCACAGGGTAGAAGGAGAGATTGATATCAGCGGAAGCCTTGTTTATCGAATCAACTCAGAGAGAGAATACGTGTAATAGGAATGATTCAACACCTGTCCGAGTAATCTTGAAAATTCGACTACCCCAACGATGACCAATAGGAGAAGACAAAGAAAACTATAAAACTCAATTTTTGAAGTCGTGTGGTTATAATTGATATGATTATGGTCAGTAATGAATTGTGTTCGTAACCTTGTCATTCAGTGAATAATAAGTTGCTTTATTTTAAAACAGTACTTGTGATACAGAATGTAATTCTCAGCATTTTACTACAGTATTGCATCCAGTTAGTACATTAACAATAAATTAAAATTCTACATGGATTATGGATAGTTTCAGTTCATTATGAACAACAAACTTATTTGCATGTCGGTAGCAAAGCCAAAAATTGAACAGAGTGTTTGAAGGTGTTAGAAAAGTAGATACTACTAGCATATTTACTGGCGTAAGCAGAAGAAAGAAACAAAGCAGCACATAAAAGAGAAAACAAAAGAGAGATAAAAGGAGAAGAAAGAAAGAAAACGCTTTACCTATAAGAGATAGGAATTGCAAAGACGAGATCCAATTGTTCTACTGACTATTTAATAAGTTATAGGTGCCACGCCTAATGCTTTCTTTATCGCACAGAACACGAGCTAGCTAAGTAGGGTATGGTTGAGTTTTTGTATTTGCTAGTGCGAGCATATAGTTTTCTATATAGGCTTGTGGTCTGCTTGTCTGAAGAGATACAAGTGGAGAGTTGTGAATGAAGAGGGTGGTGTGAGTTAGATGAAATGGATTTCGCCCATTTTTCACATGAGTCCATGTGCCTGTCCACCAGAGTATTAACAAGCTGGCTAAGTGCTTGCTGACTGCTTACCCTGCTGACAACCTTTAACATCCTACGTAATAAGGTATAGTCTTTCTTCAATAGCCTAGGAAAGACTAAGGGGGAACAATATAGAATAATAGGCAGAATACGGGAGTTAACGAATTGTAGGAGTAAGGGTTGGGCTATACCAGACTGTATTAACTTCTTGATGAAGAAGGTAAAACAGAATATTTTCTTAGGAATCATCAAAATATGAGATGTCCAGGAAAGATCAGCAGATAGAATGACACCTAGGTATTTAATTCCTGATTTGGTCTCTATTTCAGTGCCATCCATGTTGCGCACCTCGTGAGTGTTAACCAGTTTGTTTAGGTCAATCAGATTTGTGCCTAAAGGTGAAATTGACTGTTTGACATTTAGAGGGATTTAATGTTAGACCGTTTTCCTTGGATCACTGATTGATTTATGATAAAAAGCCATTTAGTTTGGAGCGGTCACTTTGACATTTGACAGGCAAAGATACAGTCACGTCGTCAGCATACTGTTTCACTGTGTGATACATCTAATAAACAAACTAATATGGAATTAATTACCACTTTCAGTAGGTAAGACAACTTATCATAAAATTTCAGTGTACAGGATACATCTCTTGAAGATAAATAGGGGATCAAGTGAACTGAGTTAAAATACAAGCATTTTTTAAACAATATACATATATTCACATACCATTTATTATTCGTATAATTCTCCACAACAGAAGTACAACCATTGCAGCTGCAGTTTCAGATACATAACGGACATATAATACATCGGAAGCAAGTGATGCCACTATAATTGCTCCATCAAAATACTAAAACAAAGAGAGAAAAGAGTTTATAGATTTAAGGTATTTCAATAAACTGGCATTACTCTTCTCCAAACGAATATTCAACATTATCATGCTTAGAAGAGTTATCGTAAAAAATACTGAAATAAAGGGAAGATAATGGAGAAATTAGCGATTTTCTTCTTTCAGTTTTTAGATTTTCTACACTGACCAACATGCAATTAGAGAGATCCTAGAGAAATAGAGAACATTGGGAAGCTGTCTTCTCTTGTTTTGGAGCTCTCCATTATTCGATTGTCTGAATACCAACCACCAGCTAACTGGTAGCTATTTTGATTGATTTTCTGAAGCTGCAATGCAAAGACGTGACCAGTGTCAGGGTGAAGTGGATTCCCAACGAAGGCGTTGGTTCACGGTAATGCTATATCATGCATCGGAGGCACAGTGGTTAGGACTTTCACTGACGATGCACATGGTCCAGGGTTCTATCTCCTGCAGACTCACCCCTGATATCAATAGTCGGCCTGCAAAATTTGGGCTACCGATATCAAATGTTCAAAATTCCATACCTGTAACCCAAAAAATGCGGTGTGGAATCAAGCTATGATCAAAAATATTAGAAAAAGTTGAAATAAATTTGTGTTGGCAAAAGTGGAATTCACGGATCAATGATTTCCAGTCCCAGTGGCTAAATGTTCAATAACCTTTGTTCTGTAACTTGAAGGTACTATGATTCGACTATTGACTGACTCGGGAGTATGCATTGCTCAAGAGTTTGGAAATTGAATGAAATGGCTATCCAGTGCTCTCACCAACAGTCAGAAAAATGTCAGTTCACTGCGTTTCTAAAATGTTTACAATAAATTTTCGACCCATAAAAAAGGTACGTCACTGTCCTTATTCCTATAATAAATTTTGACTTAGCATGTGTACGCCCTAATTAACTTATAATTTATTGCAACTAACGTTTGACTGGATTTAATTTTAAATCTTTTCAAGGTTTGATATAAACAGTTTTGCAAAGATAACTTATCACGGAATATGATTACCAATCATGCTAATAAATGTGAATAGGTCATCACAGTAAACAATACGTCTTTCAGCGATATAAAGTTTTTGATGCTTGACTGTCAACTTTTAAATTATTCTCTTTTAAATAAGAAAAGGACTTTTGTTTCAGGATTTCATCATGAGCTGACATTAGTTAGAGAACCATTGGAAAACCTGGGAGTACTGGACAGCTGTTTCGTCCTAGTTTGGGACTCTTCAGCAGTACGCACCCACCGGGATTCGAAACCAGGAGGACATTGGCTAGCGGTCGCGCTATGTCGTGAATTGGTAGAAGTTAGAATTCAAGGACTATTGGATCGGGTCCCAGTGGCTTAATGGTATACGAGCTCGCCTTGTAACCAGAAGGTTGTTGGTTCGAACCCTGTTGGTGGGTACGTACTGCTGAAGAGTCCCAAACTAGGAAGAAACAGCTGTCCAGTACTCCCAGTCGGTTTTTCAATGGTTCTCTAACTAATGTCAGCTCATGATGAAATCCTGAAACCAACCAAATCCCTACAAACCAACACTTTTGTTTCAATTAGTTAATTGTAGCTTATAAAATATGATAGGATAAAGAAGGCAGTTTCAGGGAACAAGAACTCAAAGACTCCTCATTTTTAGAGCAAATGTGAAAAAAGATTTATTTATTGATAGAAAACTTTTAAAATCGGTTCTTCTGAGTCTCTCTTGTTTCTAATTCATCATTTACATGATTGTTAATTGTTTTGAGTACCAAAGTAAAATCAATAGTTAGGTCAAGGAAGACTTGACAAATAAATTAACGAACATTAAAATAAAACTCACTATGAAAATATTGTTGGATCAAAATATAAATGAACTAGAAATCAACTTTATAAAGTGTGGTGATGAAATAATTGTTCTTAAATGTGTCAGAACAAATCAGCTTCAAAGTTTGCAATTTTGATTGATAAAAATCATTCTGGGGAAAGCTTTGAAGATACTGATTTTTGAGATTTGTAATTACGAATATACATTTCTTTATAAACCGATTAAAAATGCCCATTAAAATTTTTTCAAAAGAATGGATACTGAACAAAGAGTACCCTTTTCGATAAGCTCTCCATTATAGTCAATGAATGAATGAATGAATTAGTGTTATGAACAACATTAATGTTGCTGTTTAAATAACATCGAATCAATAATAATATCGATGGATTACAGCTCAATAGCATCAACATAACAATAAGCTGAATGTCAGAAAAATTCGGAAAGATAATATTACAAATTCATGAATTTATAGTCTCTACTGAAGGCTGGCCAGGATGGGTAGTAGTAGGGACTGGCTAGACTTGCTTCTTTTGAACACAGAGCACTGGTTGTTTGAGGCGAATTGCAACAACTTGTGCTGTTTGGAGCGTGCCGTGCTTCGTTGACTTTGACAACTTATTAGACACCCAGTAGATGATGATAGAAAAGGATTCTTCCACGTTGGCTGACTTTATGGCCAGTTTGCACCAGACGGTCCAATGTTGAACTGTTTATGCTTTTCACTACACTTTTACTCAGCAATAGTGGGATATGTTCTCGAGTGAGTACGAAAAATCAAGTTCCTAGAGCAACGGCCGATATAACTCGCTCCACAAGCAGCGCAGTTGAATTGGTAGATACAATTTAAAGTGGCCAGCTTTTCTAGGTACTTCATCTTTCAGTCGAGTTAGCACCGTCGGTCGTGTAGAGAATAAGACGTGTGGTTCGCCAGCATTAAAAGTTATTTTGAACTGATTTTCTTTATTTCCTCGTAATTATCTAACTTGGAATGTTGACCTTGAATTGCAGTCGTACATAAAGTGACTTCTTGTTTGTAGATAGTGAGTAGTCCTTTTCCGCTTTCCTCTTTGTTATGTGTTTCTTGATAAATTTGTCGGGATAGCTATTTTTGATCAAAGTGTCATAAACAATACTTAATTCATCTTGAGTTAACTCTTCTGAGCATATAGCTCTAACTCTGTGGCTGAGGGTACTCAGTAAATATCTTTTGTACTTGAGAGGAACGAAGCTGTGTGAAAGTGTGTGTATATTGTCCTGTTCAAGTACTTTTTCTATGCAAATTTCCTTTAATGCCACCATCTGGGTTTCTTGTAAGGAGAATGTGCAGGAAGGCAGCTCATTTTGTCTTAAGACTCCTCTTCACATGTGAATTGCATAGCCGAATGTACTTCATTGAATTCAGAAATTCTTATAATCCTGTCCAAATCATTATCACCACGAATGAAGGTTTCATTCACCTACCGGCAATAAAATGAAAACTTGCTGATAAGGTTGTTCAAAGGTCCATTTTCTAGCTTACTTAGAAAGAAATTAGCCAAAATACGACCCAATGGGGAGCCTATCTCCACCCCATCGGCTTGCATGTAGAGCGTGCCGTCAAAATTGAAATTTACATTTATGGTACACCTTAATAACAAGTTTTTTTTAAGATTTCAGGACGGATGCCAATGTTTATCGACTGGTTATTCACTTGTTCAATTATGCAGTTAACTGTTTCTACTAGAGGTACATTTGTGTATAAAGAAAATACCCATTGAGTTCCGAAAAAAAAAAAGACGATTCAGTGAAGAAATTCTTCCTTACTGATGAAATTATCTTCAAAGGCTGTACAGTCGTATTTATATTTACCAAAAATTTTTCATAGTCCACAACTGAGTAATAATGGTGACCTAATGGATCAACTATATACTCAGAAGTGGCTTTAAAGGTGAAAATTAAGAGTTGTAAATTACTTAGTATTCAACGGTAGAAAGGATGAAAATGTTTGAAATTTGAAAAGGGTAAAACTGTTATTGAATGAGAATAAAGGTAGTTGAGTGTCAATTTAACAGATGGGAAGTTGGTGTGGACATCTTCAAAAGGAGCATATGACAGTGATAAGAGTGAATTAATTATTAAAGTAAAAGCAAACTAAGAGTAAAATTGAAAATTAAAAAAAAACATAAAAAAATTTTTATTTACAGGGAACTATTGGTGAAGAGGTTAATATCATGGTATAATAAGAGACTGGACAAAACTTTTCTGTATACAGAGTTCGGTGTTGTATTGACTAATCGCTAACGACATTGCTATATAAACATACCGAAACCTGACATCCATCTTACCACTTGGCCTCATCTTGTAGATAATCCTAAGGGATTACTCTGGTGGAGCTACATGACTACTTAAGTTCAACAATTTCTTGAGAACTGAGCCAGTAAGTGTCTCTCATTGTCTTGAATTTATTTTCACTTCTAAAGCCAATATCAATTAAGTCACCGCCCCTCATTATTCAGTGATGGACCATTATACATTTTTCTTAAATATAAATACGACTATACAGCCTGTGAAGATGAGTTCATCGATAAACAAGATTTTCTTCTCCGAATTGCCTTTTATTGTATTAGCCTATTTTCATTCATGTGAGAATGCGAACTAGGGGTAGGTAAGAAAACCAAAAAATTTATATGTATGTCTTAAGCGCGGAATTTTCGGGTAAAAAGCATAGATGCAACGTAGCATTACTGAAAAAGAATTTAACTAATAACTATTTCGTAAAGCATGGAAAGTGAATTTTGCATAATAAAATGGTAACATAGTTCAATCCATCCACGTCTCATCAATTGTGCACAGCACATCAGGAAATCAGTTTATTTCGCTCAAAAAACAATTTCAACAAACTTGGAAGTGTTGCATGTCATCATTTGACAGGAGAATACAAACTTAATAAGCAGTTCCCACTAACAAATGTAGCACTCACACAACTGATTACACAGAAGTATCAAATGTGAAAAGGAAAGAGCTTGGAAACAGTGACAAAGTAGTTGAGTATTACATTTACATATAACGTCTAGTTGTTCGCACTCTAAAAGATTCATTCCATTTCTTTGGGGGCTTGAACCACATGAACATTTCCAATGAGTTCATGATGTTACTCAGTATCACCTCCTTGTTCACAAGGATCCTACTTAACGAATAATAAAATA